GGGATGAGAAGTAGATTTTTATTGTTATTATTGCATGTTAAGAAGAATGTCTGTAGATCTTTAATGGTTTTTAATAAATGGCATTAGCTCTTTCTCTTATAATGATTAAATAATTTTGTAAATATAGAAACTGTTGATTATTAATTTTTCTAGAAGTTAAAATAAAATCTCAAGAGGAGAAAATCAGAGTTGTTAAACGCTACTTTTAAAAGTAGCGCGCTACCGCTATCGCTATTTGTCAAAAAAAGTAGCTCGCTATTAGCTACTATTTTTTAAAAGTAGCTTTAGCTACTTTTAAAGCTACTTTTTATAAAAAAAATTTACAAACAAATTTTTTATTTTTTGCTTATAATGTTATTGTATAGTAAATATATAAAAATCAACATTTATAAATATTAAAATATAGTTAGTTTTGATTATAAAAAAATTTATGTAATAAAAATAAATATTTATGGTAATTTGTTGCATTTTAATAATAAAATCATTTCAATATTATCATCCCCAAGTCTAGAGCGACGATCAGAAAGTATAAGTTTTGTCTTGTTAAATAATCTCTCGACACTAGCACTTGAGGGTAAGGGCGTATTTAATCTTATACACATATTTTTAATATAAGATAGATTATCAATAATTTTACTTGCAAGTACATCGTATGTCTGGCATCCTATCATTTTTAGGGCTAATGCCACAGATCTTCTTTCTAAAGTTCTAGGGTCTAGCCAATGGCCTGTGATTCCCAAATAAGCTCAAAAATATTTAATCAGATCAATTTATAAATATAAATAAGTTTTTACCTTCTGTTATGTGTTCAACTATCTCCCGTGGTACATATATATGATATCTCTGATAACTCTACTATTAGAGCATCTTTCATCATTTTAAAATTATCTGCTATTTTATTCATTAGTGTCTGGCGGCATAAAATTGTTGTACCAGGGGATAGAGTTTTAATCATCATGGTTTCAGATATATTAAAATTTATATCCTCTGAATAAATTTTAGCTAAATTTTAATTTTTTAAATATCAAGATTTAATAGATCCTCAATGGGATTTCTGGGGTATTAGTAAATTGCATAGAGACATTAGATGAATCACAAATTGTTCATTGATTTGATCGAAAATGTATCCAGTGAAATAAAAACGGTTATTTTAAATTCTCAATTGAATCCACATTAATATTAGAACGATTTGTTTGTATACAAGTCGAGGCTTGTGAATCTCAAAATCATATAATTTCGCCTTCGCCTCAACTATCATATAAATCTCATCATGTGAACTCTTGGTCGATATCTCTTAATTTTCTAAGTTGTAATATTATTATATTGGTGACTCTCATAACCTCACTAAATCCATAGCATTTTTTAATATATATTGCATAAAATGGTTATGTAATAAAATAATTTATTAATACATTCTAATGCAAAAAAATAGACTGACGTAGTGAATCTAATAATATATCAGTATTAGGTAAAATATCTGGTTCAGGCTATACTGATATTTCTCCAAGGACACTCAAAAATTTTTTAGACATAAAAATACTATAACAAAACTAACAAATTATGTTGGATTGCATATAAGACATGCTTTTGCACTTTCTTTTTTCTTGTAGCACAAGAGGTCTTAGAAATAAATTTATTCAGCAAATTCTACTTTTTTAATTTATTACCGTTTTATGCACTCTGGAAATTTTTGTTAAATATAGTAGAGTGGTTATTAGAAATAAATTAAATATAATTTTTTTGGTTGATAAAATTTATAATTTTCTTATACCCATCCATCAGGGTTTAAGGTTTAAAAAAAAATTTAAGAAAATAAATCTTAATTTTCGCGGGATAAAATATTAATACACTAGGAATATTTAATTAGTTTTGATTTTATTTTAAAATTTATAATAGAATATAACCTATTTGAAATACAATGTTTGCAATTCACAATTCTTAAATTTTTCAAAAAAATTTACTACGGGGAAAGAATTTTTCTCCTTGACCTGTCCTCCCCGCTGGAAACGCCTGAACCAAACCTATTCACTGAACCAACCTTGAACTGAGTAAAGTTCGTGATTTTGACCTGGTCCTGAACCAGAACCGAACCTGGCCAAAAAATTACAGGTTCGAAGCTCTGAAAAAGGCATGATAAATATATAATTGTATTTCCTAGGCGTCAAATGTCGCGGGTATTGATAATAAATTTCGATTTTGATATGGTCCTTCACCAGAACCGAACATGGCCAAAAAAAAATTAGAGGTTAGAAGCCCTGAAAAAGAAGACATTTCCTAAGCGCTAAACGTCACGATTATTGTTATTAAATTTTGATTTTTACAAATAAATTAAATACTGTCAAGTTGCCTATAGAATTGTTAATAAACGAGATCGATCCAAATGGCGAAGATGCAATCATAATGGTCTCAATTTTTTAACGAATCCTCAAAATGACTTGAAACGCAGATTTTTTAAAAAAAAATCTAGTTCTCGTGCCCATCTTTTAAACGGTTCACTTTTTTTTCTAACTACTATTTAAATTTTTTATATAACATACAAAATTGTAGGGGAGATTAGGGATGTGTTATCCCGGGGCTAGATAATTTCTTCTCAAATATTTTTAAAACTGAATAACTTTGTAATTTGAAATTTAAGCCATAAATGTATTTTTTAATAAGATGCTTCAATTCAAAAATGTTTCGTATAAATATGCTCACGAAAAGTTTTATATGCAAATTTAAATTTTAACACGTCATTCCTGACTTTCAATTTGATTGAACCCTTAAATCAAAAGATAATTTTCTAGGTCGTATATCCAGATTTTTGTGTTGGAAGTCTTTCTCATTAAATTAATTAATAATAGAGATCGTTTCATCTTTAGTGTTAATTTCGCAATCAGAGCAAATCAGAATTCATGCAATTAAATAGTTCCGAAACTAACAGCCACAATTTAAAGATTAGTAATCAACTAATATACTTAGGATCCCCGATTGAATACAACTTAGCTGTTCGCACTTTCATTCAACTCTTGAGACTCATTGAGAGTTGATTGATATCCTACTCAGACTCTCCTCTCATATAAAGTTTTTTATTTTGAAAATCATTTTTAATATACCGCCCCTTCTTTACGCACTTAGTATTACACTTGGCTAATATTTAAGCAAAAATTACAGTTCATCTTTAAATGTAAAAGATAAAAAAATTTTTTTTGGCTATTTTGAAGGAAAAACAATTAAATCTATAAAGTATTTTGCCAAAATTTTAAATGATTTATTATATTCTTACTGAAATTTATTATTAAAATTAATTATATATGTTAGATCAATCGTATCAATTATTGAATTTGAAAAGAATATAATTCAAGTCAAAAACAACCCCTTCCCCCCCCCCAAAAAAAAAAATTAAAATAAATCAATACCTAAAAAAATTAATGCTTACCCCTTCAAAAGAATATCTTCCCCAAAAAATCTTAACCTCCACCTCAAAATGCCAATATATTTTGGAGACATTTGCCTCCTACCCACCCCTGCCATGTAGTCACTGGGTTCAAATATTCATAAAATATAATTTTTTTATATGCTTAGGCTTTTGATGTCCTAAATAGAATATGGTGACCCTTAAAAAAATTTTACATTTTAAATAATAAGAAAATTAGCCAAGAATTATGACATTAAACTAACATTTCAATAAAAAATATTACATTAAGTAACGAATATCGAAAGAATAAGGTAGATTATATACGTTACAAAAAAATTTATGTGCATATAGTTTAGGCATGGTCAAGCTTTTGTTCAAATTCGACAAGGGTATCTGGCTGTCAAAATAAGATTATTTCCAGATATTGTATTATTTCATATAGTGTTGACAAACCACCTGGATTTAGAATATTTAAAATGGCTAGAGTGAAATAAGGCTCAAAAATATATTCAAAGATATTTTAAAAATAAACTGGGAAGAAGAGGATAAATAATCTGTATAATACGTAGAATTACATGATTCACCCGAAACTAAAACCTGCATCGGGTTCATTGTAATTAATTTTTATTTCTGAGAATCACGAAATCTTTTGTTAGATTTCTTATTTGTTGAATTGCTAAGTCGCCCAATTTCTAAGTCGAGATTTACGTAATCTTAAATAATGTTATATTTCCTTAATGCTGAATGGATTTTCTTTTTTCAATTTTATTATTTTTCATACAACTTTTTTATTTTTCCAAAAAAATATACATCTTTTTCAAAAAATACGAATTCCAAGAATTGGTCAAAAAAAATTAGTCACAATTCAAAAAATCGATAAAAGAAAAGAAAAAATAATAACAATCCAAAAAATTGATAAAAGAAATAAAAATAATAATATCTCCCTAAGATATCTTAACAGGTAGGAAGTAATTTGATGTGGATTTTTTTGAGATGGGGGGGGGGGGGGGGTGGAATGCTTTTCTTCCTACAGGTCGGAGAGATAAAATTTGTCTTTTGCAGACATCTAATCTTATAACCTATAGTGAATCATCATAATTTAAAACATATTTAATAATTATTATAAAAATTAGTTAAAGAGATATGTTAATTATAATATATATTTTTTTCTAAAATTACCACAATAAAAGATTTTTACATAGTTAATAAAAAATGAACTCATTAGTAATAATGAACCAAACTACGCATTATTGATATTGTAAACAAAGTGATTTTAAATGCGGGCTTAAATCAATGTATAGCGGCAAATAACGAAGATGGATTTAAAATAAGGAACTTCTATGCATGGTAAAAAAAAATATTTGAAAGAGCAATTGGAACTGACCACGACTACATGGCAAACCAGTAAGATTAAAATAAAAAGATTCTATTAGAATAAATTTATTCAAACTTAAAAATTATAATTAAATAAATTTATATAACAATTAGTTTCCACGTTTAAAAATATAAGATATATATGATGGAATGAAAATATTATTATCCATGATTTAATTTTGCAAAATATAGAAGGTAGTTTTACAAACATACAAAAAAACCTTAAAAAAATTAATTATATTTAAACAATACTATACATCTATAAAATGAAACACTATAATTCATAAGATTAATTATCCTCAATATCTAATTCATTTTCATCTTGGTTATTTTTATCTTTTATTTGTTCTTGTTGATTGTAAAAATGAGCGATCTAAAATAATAGATAAAGTTTATCATCATAAATTAGATAATGGTTCAAACAAATCTAAAGGGGGGTGTATAAGATGAAGTGGGGGGGGGGGGGGGTTAGAGTTTAAATAGTTTAAAAAAATTGAAATGTGATAAAATATATAATTATTATATATAGTTTAAAGCTAAAATGTGAAAGACCAGATTTTTTAAAATGCATATTTTAATTATATCATCCATGAAAAAAACCTAAAAATTAAGCCTCTGCAAGTTATTTGGTATTTTTTTTTAATAAAGAAAATAAATACCATAAATTAGTATGAATTAAGAAACTAAACAGTTGAGTACATTAAAACAGTATTTAAAAAATGGAAACACAAACTTGGGTAGCTGTAGTGGCATCTTCGGCATTTTTGTCTTCACGGAGTTTAATATAACGAGGGAACCTTAAGGATATGCCCTTATCTGGGTCCACCTAAGCAAATGTCAAAGGAAATTATCTTTAAAAAAAACGCATCAATCATTGTCCCTAAAATTAGTGTTGTTAATCTGCTTGGATTTGAGCCAATTTTTATAAAAAAAAAGGCTAACTCAATATTTCTTTTGTCAGAAGAAATTATGCAAGCCTAAAGATTTGTCTCCATAGATGGCAGACGAAATATTTAAATACTGAGTTAGCCATTTTAAAAATCTGCTCAAATCTAGCCATTTAACAACACTACTACCAAGATACTAACCATTTAAAACTTTCAAAATGGAAACCAAGATATGCATTGTATAGATGGAATAAAAAATAAAGAAAATCTCCATTCCCTTCCTATCGACCTTTCCTATTTCTCTATAATTTTAATAGTGCGTCTTTCTTTTTTCTATAGCACACAAAAATGGAATATATACGAACCAAGCCTATGGCAGCCTTATGTATGGAGATATGGAAAGATCGGCCGCCTTAACTTCGCAAACCAATTTGGGTTCGAACCAGATATCTGGGCTGCTACCTTGTTGTTCATTAAACCCAGTGCAATAATATGGTTTGGGGGCTTTTATCACGTGTTCCTCTAATTTGGAATGTAATTCCTCTAAATCGGCATCTTTGAAACCTGTTCCCAACTTTGAAGAATTAAATATAAAAAAATATATTATATCGTTAATCATGATTAGAGATCTGCATAATGTTACGGGCTAAATTTTTTATTTATTTTATAAAATAAGATTTTGCCAGTGTTGTTAAAATAGCGCGCTACTTTTTTAAAAAAATAGCGATAGCGGTAGCTCGCTACTTTCAATTTTACATAATAAATACATCTAAAAATTATTAAAATATATTTTTTATAAAATCTAAAATTATAATCCTTTTATTTAATTTAATTTTGAAATTTATATTTAAAAATATACATTATTGTTATATATTAGATATAAACAGTTGTTAAATAGCAATCTGTATTTAATTTATATTTGGCGCATTCATTAAATTATATATTTTTGAAATTCCGTTATTGGTATGTCCTTGCTTTTATCTTATTTTATATTTCATTTTACATTTTATATTAAGCATTATAAATCTTGTTATGTGTGAGATTGTTGAAGATATTGAAATTTCTTTTGAAAATGAGCAAAATATAGATGATCCTTTCCCAAAATTCAAGAAATACTTTAACCTTGAAGAAAAAATTAATACTGGATATCGGTTTCGGTGCAAGATGTGCCGCAAAATTAACTCTTCAAATCATATGAGCAGCTTTAATTTGAAAAAACATTTAAAGGTAATATATTAAACAAATTTAATATCAATGTGTAGGCTAATCTTTAATTTTTTAAATAAATTAAAATCAAAAACCAATCATTTTTTTTATATATTCATAAATTTTATCTAAATTATTTAAAACATTTTAAAATAGTTATTTCAATCATTTTTATGTACTTATCTCCTACATAATTTTTATTCTAAGTATTTTATAATTTTAGACTGTGCACACTTCAAATTATAAAGAGATTGAAAAATATCTCTAAAGTTTTGGGGTAATGGAAGAAGATAAACCCACTTCCAAATCAAATTTAATACAAACAAAATTAACCAATTTGGATTCATCAACACCTGGTGTATCCCAAAAATTGGCTGACAAAGTCATTATGAACTTTATAATAGATACAGTTCAACCATTATCCTTGGTGGATAATGATTCTTTTATAAAGATGATAAACACTTTTTCTCCACGGACCAAGATATTTTGCCGGCAGACATTGATGGCAAGAATTTTGGAGAGCTTTAAGGAAATGAAAAAATCTTTGATATTAAATCTATCAGATGTCTCCTACGTCTGTACAACGGCAGATTGTTGGACTCACAATAGAAGGTATTATACTTTCTGATCGTCGCTCTAGACTTGGGGATGACAGTACCGAAATGTTATTATTATTAAAGTGCAATAATAAATAAATTATATATATATAGGTAACAAATTATAGTCATGTTTTTATATCAATATTTTATTTGTGGAAATAAAGTTACGTAGAAAAAAATATTTTAAAAAAAATCAAAGTAGCGTAATTTTTTTAAAAGTAGCTAATAGCGCGCTACTCATTTGAAAACGATAGCGGTAGCGATAGCGCGCTACTTTTTTTATAAAATAGCGGTAGCGATAGCGCGCTACTTTTAAAAGTAGCGTTTAACAACACTGGATTTTGCCTATATAATATTTATCAGAGGCCTGCAGGCCCGGCCCTAAGCCCAGCCCAAGTACACGGCCAGACCGTATTTTGATTTATTTAAATATACCCTGCCTAGGCCGGACCTGAAAATCTTTTTTTTTAAAAAAAAAGCAGAGCCTAAAAAACACGAGCCGGGCCGAAAAAAATTTTTGAAAAAAAATATTTAGACTGGGCCGTGCAAATGGTACCTCTGCAGGAGTTCGATATTTATCTTGGTATCTATTTTTGCAATTAAAAACATTTTTTTTTATTTAGTGCTGATCACCAATAAATAACAATAAAGTATATTTTAAAAAAAAAGTCATTCCAATAGTTATTATAATAGTAATTATTGTTATTAATCGGTAATAATGTTGTAATCAATATTTCATCCAGAATAATCTTACGCAAGCCTTAAGATTTTGCTTGTAGAAAGAAACAAAGGTTCGGACATCTATCAACGAAATCTTGTGGCTCGAGCAATATTTTCCTGGCTAAAATATTGAGTTATCCGTTTTCTAATTGGTAAAGAAAATGAGAAAGCTTTTAAATCCATTTTAGTAGATAAGGAGATATAAATTAGAAAATATAAATACTTTGCAAATGGTTTGGTATTGTTCGTTAACATCGTCGTAACAAGCCAATAAAAGCCCGCCATAATGGCCCGTTCTTTTGCCTTGCCCCTGATAAGCTCCTATTATCACCAAATCAAAGGTATCCCCCGTTGAATCCAGGTAATCCTTTTTAAGCTTTAATATGGAAATTCAAAAAATAAATTATTTTCTGTATGAGAGATAGAGGGTTCATTTTAAAAATTCATTTTTCGTCATTGTATTATATTAATTTATTTCAGTCTTACCTAAAGTTAGGGCCAATATGAGGAAGTATAAATTAGATAAAAGAGATAGTATGAATAACATAAAGTGGAGAGAGATATTGAATGAGCCTACCACCAGAAAAGGTGAAAGCTAAAGAGAAAAAAAAAGTCTTAAACAAAAAGTGAATATCTTTCCATATAATGCTAAAGATTTAGATCTCAATGATGAATCTAACTTTAAGCCATTTATTAGAACGCTTGTCGATTTCGTAAGTCGAATCCAAACTTTTGACCATCAGTCCCTCACAATTTCCTAAAATATTATAATTTTTTTATCAATAAAACTAATTGTTATGACTAAATAAAAATAGTTAATAGAAATCTTAAATTACACGTAAAATAATATCTACTTGAATTATAGGGAAAAGAAACAAATTTATGATTGAAAATTTTAAACTTTTTTTTCTTAACAAACCTTTGATGGCGGCATCCAAAAAATCCGAAACTTTATCCAATTCGCGCGTTTCCTGATTGGCCGGGAGGTCAAGAGAACGTGCGAAATCGAAAAAATGGCCGGAAGCTCGGAATGTTTCCTTCAAAAGTCCTCCTCTCTCATGTAATCGGTGAGACGGTTTCCGTTTAGATATAAAAGGTCGAAAGCGAAAGCCCGAACCTCGACCTTTACGTCGAAACTGGATGCGTCCTTTAAAATTTTTGCAAAATATATTATTTTTTTTTGTAAAGTCAGTGAATGATACAAAATATATATATCATTTTATCACAACAAGCATATAATCATTTAAGAGAAACCTTGTAAAATTAATCCTTGTAAAAATATTAATACTAATACTTTACTTATTATGCGCTTTGCAATGACAGTCTAACTAGTTGAATAACAAAAATTTATATATTTTTAAACTAGAAAATATATATTATTCCTCTTAATCTAAAATTGGGCTATTTATTTTAAGAATTTGTAAAATTAATTTGTAGGTGTTGAAGATGATTTTCTTTCTGATTTTATTAGCGACCTTATTTATTTATGGTGAATTCCATATCAAAACCAAGGTTTCGACCCGACCCAATCAGAATTTTTTTTAAATTTTCTAAATTGGTAGTATGTAGTTTAGCTAAGTAAAATAGATATTTTACTTCCTTAAACCACTTACTCGCTGGAGTTTAAAGAGAGGAAAAATGGTACATTTTTGACAAAATGCACTTCATTCATTTTCAAATATCTCAAAATAAAGTCAGAGTTAATTTTTATTATATAGCTTAATAATTACATCTTTAATATGATTGATATATAAATAAATGTGATAAAAACCCGATTAATACCCAAAACCGGAAGTACAAGACTGGAAATTACCATAGAATTTTTCGGAACAAAATCCTAAACCGGGTGAAGGTGGGCCTGGAAGTTATGACTTTAAATGGCTAAAATTGATCCAATTTAACATAAATATCATTATATTTAAATTTAAATTTAATGGATACTAACGTTATAATTTTTATTTTAAAAATTACGTCTAAATGAAAGGCGTTTACTTTATTATTTTAAAAATGGAATAAAAGTATAAAAATAAAATTTTGTGTTTCAGAAATTTGTTTTGCTGTCAAAAACTTGTTTTCGAGGTGATTTTTCATACTTAAATATTCATCATCTCATAAATGTAGAATTTATCTTTCTGATATTATTTCCTGAATAGTTATAAATCCATTGTTGCCAAAATATTATTTGCGTATATGGGTATTAGTAATTTAGCAGAGATGAGGTCCTTTGTTTATCCAAAAATATTGAAAGATCTTAATTATGAAGAGATTATTGAAGTGGGTAAGAAAGTTTTTAAGCCTATTTCAACATTATTTAGCTCGAGAATTAAATTTATTCGGATAGAAAGAGGGGTTGGTGAATCAGTTGAGGAGTTTGCAGCTCGACTTAAAAAATTGGCTCAAGAATGTAAATTTGAATCTGACCTAGATGGGAGATTGAGGGATCAAGTGGTGGCTGGAATCAAAATGGGTGCATTGAAGAAAGATATTCGCACTAGATTTCCAGATGGAATAAGTGACTTGGGAGAAAGGGTGAGTTTTCAACAGGTTTTAAATATGGCTTTGGCAATGGAAAGGGCTGAGGATGAAGTGACAAATATGATGGTAAAAAAAGTCAATAAACCTAAGGAGCAGATGGAGAATAATCAAGAAAATTTTTCTAATCAAAAGTACCCATATAATAATAATAACAAAGAAAAAGGTAATTTTAGTTATTACAATAACAATAATAATAATTTTAAGTTTAGAGATAACAATAAATTTAACAATAATGATATGTATAAGTTTAATAAATGCTCAAAATGTGGAAGAACTCATCCCCATTTTCAATGTTTTGCATCAAGGGTGAAATGTTATAATTGCCAAAAGGTAGGGCATTATGCTAAATATTGTAAGGGACAGAAGTTACATGCTATACATATAGATGACAATGATTCATCAGATTCAATTAATAATATTTCCCAAATTGGTAGAAATAGTGCAAAGATATTTGTTTGGATAAATGGAGTACCTATAGAATTTGACTATGATACGGGGGCACAGGTATCGGTGATTGGGAAACAATATTGGGATGAAATTGGCCGACCCAAACTTGGACCAACCAAACCTTTATCAGTATATGGTAACCAACCGCTAGATGTACTGGTGAAACTATGGTGAGGGTTCGTCTTGAAAAGATAAGCAGATTACTACCGATTGTGGTGACCCGTTCAAATGGCATTCCATTATTTGGACTACCATGGATACTGGCATTTAATATGTTTATTCCACGACAAGTGACTATACGTAGTATCACAAATAAAGAGGTTATGACAACCGATAAACAAATTGCTGGCATGACAACAGAATTTTTCAGTGTTTTTGATGACAAGCCTGGACGGGTGAATGATATAGAAGTTAGCATACATTTGAGTGAGGCAGCAAGGCCGAAATCATGGCCAGCTCGTAGAGTACCTTTTCCATTACGAAAACCAATTGAAATGGAACTCGATAGATTGGTTAAATCAGGAATATTGAAGGCGATTGATCCAACACAAAAACGATTGACATGGGCCACTCCAACGGTAAACGTACGAAAAACAAATGGAGAAATCAGGATTTGTGCGGATTTTAAGGTGACATTAAACCCATATATTTTGTACGATTATCATATTATACTAACGGTGGATGATCTTTTAACCAAATTAAAAGATGGATTGAAATTTACGGTAATAGATTTGAAAGATGCATATTTACAATTACCAATAAAAGAAAGTTTAAAAGATTACTTAACCATATCGACCCACATTGGTTATTTCCAATATCAATGTATGCCTTTCGGTCTTTCTAGTGCACCGACCATATTTCAAAGATATATGGACAATTTATTACAAGACTGCCAAATGACTGGAGTATATCTTGACGATATTATCATAACGGGGAAAAATGATGTAGAACATTTGAATAACGTAAAAAAAGTACTAATGAAACTAAAACAGGTGGGTATGAAGGCAAAATGGGCCAAAATACGTTTTTTAAATGAATCAGTTTCTTTTTTGGGTTTCGTAATAGACAAATATGGAATACATCCAGCGAAAGAAAAAATAGATGCTATTCGAAGGATACCAACTCCTAATAATATACACCAATTACGATCTTTTTTAGGACTTGTGAATTATCACGAGAGATTTTTGCCACATCTACATGGAATTGCCGCCCCTCTGCATAAATTAACAAGCATTAAATCTTGCTGGGGTTGGTCGGACAAGGAACAAGAGGTATTTGATAAAATAAAACAGCTTTTGTCAACAAATAAAACGCTAATTCCATATTCGCCAATCTTGCCAATTATATTGGAATGTGACGCTTCCAACACTGGTTTTGGAGCTGTGTTATGTCATTTAGTGAAAAAAGATATTAGCAGACCAATCGCATTTGCCTCGAGAACACTTCTAGAGTCAGAGAAAAATTATGCACCAATAGAAAAAGAGGCACGAGCACTTTTGTTTGGTATGGAAAAATTTCATACATTCATTTTTGGTCGAAAATTTTTATTACGAACAGATCACAAACCTTTGGAAAAATTATTTGGTGATAAACGGGAACTACCAAAAATATCCAATAGTCGATTAAAGCGCTGGGCTTGGAAAATGTCCGCATATGATTTTGATATTGAATATGTTCCTGGAAAAGATAATAAAGTAGCTGATACATTATCTAGACTGCCAATAGATGGCATAAAATCAAATAATGATCAAAAAAACGCGTTAAAAATTAGAGCTATAAATTTGCACGATATAAATATTAGTCAAGTTGAACTCCAAAAGGAAACAAGGAATGATAGCTTGTTTAAAAAAGTAGTTAAAAACATTGAGCATGGATGGGTGGATTTTGATGCGAAAAAAAATACAGAGTTAGTTTGTTTTTATAATCGTAGAGAGGAATTGTCAGTAGATCATGATGTTATTGAATGGAATGGGAGGTTGGTAATTCCAACCATTTTGAGGAAATCAATTTTAACGATTATACACAGAGGGCATCCAGGAATAAATGCTATGAAATCAATTTTTAGAATGTATTGCTGGTGGCCGAATTGCGATAAAGATATTGAACAATATGTTCGTCAATGTATGCCTTGTCAAAGTAATCGGTCGAATATTATGGAGGTTCCTTTATATTCGTGGAACATATCTAATATACCATGAGAACGAATTCATTTGGATTTCGCGGGGCCTATTGATTCGTATTCATGGTTAGTTGGAGTTGATGCACATACTGAATGGGCTGAGGTTGAGTTAATGAGAGAGACCACGTCCACGACAATGATCAGGGTTTTAAGGAAATGGTTCGCACGGTTTGGAACACCTAGACAAATCGTATCAGATAATGGACCTCAATTTATTTCTGGAGAATTTCGAAAATTTTGTTTCGAGAAAAATATTAAATTGATACATACAACACCGTACCATCCAAAAACGAACGGTTTAGCGGAAAGAACGATACGAACCCTCAAGAGTCGATATTTTGCAACTAGGAAAGACATCAGGGAGCCCGAGGAAGCCATGGGAGAAGTTTTGCTAGCATATAGAATGGGTGAGCATCAATCAACTGGACGTTCACCGGCTAAGTTATTATTGGGGCGAAATTTAAAAACAGGATTGAATTGGTTACGTCCTAATGTTAGTTATGAAATGGAACGATCGAATATAAGACAAAAAGTAGCGCATGATGAACATAGTCATATGAGAGAATTTGAGATTGCACAACCGGTATGGGTGCATAATGAAATAAATTCAGGTTGGAGAGAAGGAATTATAAAATCCAGAACTGGCAGATATTCTTATTTGGTAGAAAGCAAGGATAGAATGGTACGAAAGCATGCGAATCAACTTCGAAAAAGGGAGGTAGCTAAAGAATGGAGAAGTCTGGGCCAGGGAAAGATAATGGAGAAAATATGGAGTCAGAGAGAGAAGAGGAAAATATAAAAAATAAAGAGTCGGATATAGTTGAGATTTTAGAAAATGTGGAAGATAACGGAAAACTAGAAACGCGGAAATCACAAAGAGCCAGGAAACCTACAAATCGGCTTATTGAGGAATTGTAAGATCATATGTGTGGGGATATGTTATAAATGAGATTTATATTATATATTACCAATGTTATAAATGTCATATATATATATTATCAATGATATAAATGTCATAGATACAAATCAATCATATTAATATATTTCATGAAGTGATTGCCAGTCAAATAAACTTAATTAGTATAATGTTTATATATGATTTTATAGGTTATGGAACCGATTGCTAAGGCTCTTTCAATTTTAGAGAGCGAAGATAAAATGCATTTGGGATATCTCACTCCCACAATAACTATTATAATATCAAAACTTAAAAAAATGGCTTTAAATAATTTCAAGTATTGTAAGCCGCTTATTAATTCAATCCTGGAAGGCATTAATAAGCGGTATACAGTTAAAATATTGCTTATAATTTATATTTTGATTATCTTTTATTTTCAATAGATTCAAACACATCTAATGAATATATACTAGCAGCAATAATTCACCCGCTTTTTAAATTGGATTGGCCCTGGATAAAATTAGATGTCAACAAAGAAGGAATGCAAGATCTTATTTCCACTTTGAGAAAAGATATTGATAAAGAAAGAGGAGACTTAATTACTTTATCCAGCACACAAACAAGAATTATTTCTGATAAAGATAAATTTTTTTTTGAAGAGGAAATAAGTGTTCCTTGTGAAGATGATCTACTAAGTTTTTTTCAAAATAAAGATACTTCTTTAAATATTTTTAATAAATTCCCCGAATTAAAATCT